CTGCTGAAGAGGAGCCAGGCTTAGGATTTTACTTTGATTTGGTTTCCCTGAGTGCAGAAACAGCTCCTAATTTCTCAGAGAAGCAAAAGAAATGGAAGACAAGAGAAAACAGACCAAAGTCCTGAGCCAGGTGTTTGGCAGCACACAATATGCACTTTTAGGCATGCTGACTTTTAAATGATATCTAAGCAGACACCTGAGCCAGCTGCTATCTCTGGGCTTTTACTTGACGTGACACCAAGTGAGTCCCCCTGGAGTTATGCTGGCCAGATGAACAGAAACATAATTGGTTACATGCAATATGGGGAAGGCTTCTATATTTTTCACCTTTCTTTTTATTAAAGCATTCCAGTGCGAAGTATCTTTTCCCATCCAGTTCCTGACCATACTTCCAAACTCTGCAGTATGATGACAGCTAATTCTGTCACTGCAGAATAGTGGAACGCCTTCATGGTATTTGCGGGAGAACACCTCTGCTGAGGGAGCACAGGCACAAGTTGTCACCCTGACCCAGGAAAGGGATCTGGAAAGGTGTTAAACGTGATTTGACTATGGTCTATGCATACCTCCAAAAAAGAGAGATTCCTGACTTTTAAAAGCTCTTGCTAGTGGATGGGAACATGCATAGAAATCCAGTGGCTGCAAGCTGAAGCTAAATGTAGTCCAGAAAATGTTTTCTTTGTCTCTCTTTCACTTCCTCAACATTGAGAATAGTTAACTGTTGGGACAAGTTATGTATAGATGAGACAAGTTTACCGTAGCTTCAAGCACTTACCTTCAAAGCGATTGTCTTTCGAAAGGTGTGCCCTTTTTCAAACAGAAGATGCATTCTTGACACAGGCGTTACTGGGGAAAGTTGTTAAACTGATCTAAAGAATAAAGTAATTCTGAAATGCAGACAGGGTTGTGTTATCTTCAGTCCATTCCAGAGATCCTTTGGATCCTTAAACACCTCTCCCAGGTTGTCATCCATCTCAAGCAAAACTCTCTTGCCTTGACAATAAAAGTCATGCTGCTCACCAATCCTTTAATTTAAATGGGATGAACACCTTTCATGCCATGGTGGCACGTGACTGTCCTGAAGTTCGTTTGCTACTTTGATCTGTCTGTCTGGAATCCATTTTCCACTCCATATGCAAATACTTGGTTGAAGCCAGTCACCAAACCAAACCTATTTCTTACTGACTGCATTCACCTGGAAACCTTGTGAATGTGGAGAACTTTACAGCTTTTTATTTTGTACAGAAAGAACAGCATCTCTGGAAGTCATTTTGTACAGGAAGTTCAGGCATCTCAGCAGAGTGTGATGGACAGTTGTTTCTAACCAATAGCTGATTGACCATCTTTTATTTCTATTCTCCAGTGTTCTTATTCAAATTATAATATCCTTTTCCTTTATCTTCCAGAACAGCCTTCTTCTCAGGGTAACTAAACCTTTGAGTCTTCCCATTTCCAAAGTAACATCCATTCACCTCTTTATTGTGCCTTTGGGGTACTGCAAGCAGCAAGAGAACCACAGGACATGAAAACAAGGAGGGGGCATGGGGAAGGGAGAGGGGGATATTACTATTGGAGACCCACTTTGCCTTCCAGAGATATATTAAGCATATCCGGCTTTGTTCGAGAAGGAGCAAAGCCCCGTGGAAGCGAATGAAGCCCTCTTTAGATGAGCTATATTTGTGCAAAGCTGTGCCAGAGCCAGGATGCTAAAACTGGAAGGGCTGAGGAGAGCAGGGCAGAGAAACCCAGCTGCTGACGAGCCCAGATTTGACAGGTTTTGTTTGCTCAGCCACTATCCCGTGCTGAATTCGTTCCCCCAGCAGCAGCGCAGGCAAGTCTGCAGAGCCTGTGAGCTCATAAATAAACCCTGCCGGAGGTGACCTGGCCTGTATAGAGCTGTCTTGGATATCTGCCTTCATGACTGCATTTGTCAACAAGCTAGAAAAGCTGCCTGCAGAGAGTTGGCTGCAGCAGGCCCCTGAGGTGTTGGGAATCAGTTCATTACTATCATTACCAAACTCTTTCTCTGTACCTCTTCTCTCTAATTCAGCAAAATGTAGCCACTGCATCTTGCCTTCAACTACTAGGTATGTCACTTTCTGCTGATGATTTTTTCTTTATCATGATTCTACATTATTGTACCCAGTAAAGCATTTTTGGATGCAGCTGATGGGTAAGACAGCAATTAAAATGTGTTCCATTGGATTATTAATGATATGTCCTGTACAGGACTCAAAACTTTTTCTGATGGAAATCTGTTTCGCTGGCCTGTTCCTCATGCGGTTCATTGACATCTGCTGATGATAGTATTCTTTTTCCCAAATGTACTGTATTCATGAAAATCTGCACTGAATATCTGAGCTACTGAGGCTCAGACCCCACCAGAGTTTTCATTAACGTACAAGAAGAAAATGTACCAATAGGGGATCATATCAGAAGAAATTATATTTAATGGCACCACTGCTCTACCATCTGTTAGAAAAAATATGGAAACAGCTACCTTGAGATTACCAGTTTATGGTGGCTTACACTGTTAGGATACCATAGAGTGAGATTTTTTTTTTTTAAGCATGCTTATATTAGTAGCCAGGAAGAAGAAAAATAGTCTCATAGTGTTACCATCAAAATAGTTATTTGACATTTACAGGTAAGACTACCTGTGCTACATCTTAAAGTATCCAGTTGCTGCACTATCACTTTTAGCGTTGCTGCACTTGCAGCAAAATTTTTTTCTTCTTTTTTCCCTTCCCCCATACATAGAGTGTTTGTATGATGTGTAACATGTATCAGCTTATTGAGGAAGTCCTTTGGGTAGATACAGACATTAATCTTCAGACATGCATAAATAGATGACATCCAACTGTATTTAATACCCATACTAAAAATACTTCAGTGATTTAATTTAAAGGGCATTATTGGATTTGGTTTGGTTTGTGGGAATTACAAATTGATACTACCATTTATGCAAAGAGCTCAGAGAAACATCTGTTCGTTGAGGGTGCTTTCCACCTTCAGAAAAGCATTCAAATTTTCATCTGAATTTGTGCTGAATTGAGTGCCAAGTCAGGTAAGAAGAAGGTCTGCTTCTCAAGTTTCTTAATTTATTTGTACAGTTTTCTGCATGTACAGGACTCATTCAGGAAGGGGATAAAACCTACTTTGATTTTTGTGAAATCAGGACTGAACATACACTCCTGGCCAAGGAGTCTCACCCCTCCAGGACCCTCCTGCAGGCAGGACCCACCATAGTTCTCAATACTGAGAAGCGAGGCATAGCGTGGCACAAGAGGCAGGCTCAGTGGAAGTGGTCACAGAGCTACGTGAGACCTGCTAGGAGAAATAAAGTAGTGGTTTGGGCTACCCTGAGAAGCAGCTGTAGAAAACGAAATACAATCTGGTTTTAAGTGTATGTGAACTGCTAAATTAAAATACATATAAGTAAAAGCTAGCTCTGGGAGCAAATACAAAAATAATAAATCTAACAGGGTTTTGTTTTTGTTAAAAAGACAAAATCATGTATGTGCACATCACAGTGCAGGTGCCTTCTATCAGAAAATAGCACTTTTTATTTGAAAACTGTAGTACATTAGAAGTGATCCCCAAGCCCCCTTCAGGCAAAATTCCAAATGTTTTGTCTAAACTCTGGAATATTTGTATTTTGTAGTGCCACAGTAGTGCCCCCAGGAAATTATTGTACAGGTACATGAATCCGTCTTGCTCCTCTCTGAGGCATAATACACTATGTTTGAGAGGCTGTCATGGTGCACCATGTAAAGAGAAGAGGAATCGTGATGCTGTGTAAGAAATGGAGTCTGAAATAGGTTCAATTTAAAGAATACCAGGAATTTAAGACACTTAAACTCTAGCTCTCATGAGGGCCTGGCATAGTGTTTTCAAGTCTCTCTTCTACTATTTTTGGCTGAAACATATGAGGTGTTGATTTTTCACCAAAAACTTGATTTCCTACCATGAAATAATAATATTAAACTGTAACAATAGGTATGTTGTTCCTGTCATTAACATCTTCTCTGAAAGACAGAATGTTTTTCTGGTAGGTTGTATTTCAGTGTCTGCTTGTATGAGAATATGTGTCCTTACACAAGTCTTTTTTCTCTATGTGTGAGAGAATAAAATATATAAAATGTGCTGTTGGAGCTTCAAGAGAAACTTGATTGAGTTTTCAAGGCATTAACATAAAAGTGAAGATTTTTATTAGATCTTGAATATTTTTCTTTCTCACAGTTGAGCTATACTTCTAAAGTTCTCCGTGACACTGGCATATAACTAGTAAAAGCTCAGAGTCATAAAATTCAATATAAAAGAACTTCATGCAATATAACAGAATATCTAATAAGCAATGCAGTTTTCAGAGACGTGGAATAGATATCTTTAAAATGTCACCATTTCATTTTTTTTGTAGATATCTTCAGTGGTAGCTGTAGGAAGATATGATTTTTATTTTAATGTTTATCATAGCTAGTCAAAAGACTGCACTATTTTTTGAATGAAAATAAATTTGCAGGAAACCTCCCTAAATATTTTGTGGAATTTTTTTTATTATTTAAAAAAAAAGCAAATGCCAGCTTAGTTATTCATGTGTATATTGTGTATTTTATGTCCTCTTTCTGTGCATCTTTCCGCCTTTCTTTCATTCATTCTCGTTACTCTTCTTCCCACCCATGAAATGCTTTATTTATTTTCTCATGAAATGCTCAAATAGTTCAGGTTTTGTCACAACTGTTTCATAATCTGTTGAGAGCATTTACACTAACTTTCAAAGATTTATACAATAAGCTATATGAGTATACTGCCGAGACATCTCTGTGAAGAGATTTGGAGACCATATACTTTTGATTCATACCTGGTATTTTTCGTTCTGAGTCTATGTTGAAGGCATCACTCTGCCTCATGCCTGGGAATTTCATCTTACTGTGCTTTGTCTGCAATTATCTGCATGTCAGACACCCACTGAAGCAAGAAAAAAATGTTAGGGTCAGGGAAGGTACCTCTCCTTTTCCCCTTGGAATTAGGAGACAATTACGAGACTGTGCTGCATGCAATTAGAAACAATGAAAAATAAATGAAATATATGCAGCCTTTACCAAAAAGATCAAAATACCCCTTCTATTTTTTCTAACATTAATCAGAGCAGAGCACTTAGTCAAGCAAACATCCATGGCTGTGTGTCAGAGCACAGCTGCAGTGTTCATACTGAGTATTATTTCTTTGCTGAAGTCCTGTGTCCCTTCCCACGGCTGGAACTGTAGCAAGAGGTGTGTTTGTGGAGGGTGGTATTATGGGAAGCATATAGGCAGCCTGGGATTCTACCTGGGATGTCAGACTTTTTGGCAGTGGTATCACTCAAAAAGTGATACCTGTTTCCTGAGGTTTTGTGTCATACCTGCCTGAAAAAGAAGTGGGTGTAAAGCTGGGATTATTGACATTTTGGTTCCGATCATTGTTGCCATCTCCATGTGCAGCATGTAGCCTTTCACCTCTGAGTAGACAAGTGAGTTGAGTGCAGACACTGCATGCGAATTGCTGGGCCATGCAGACGCAGGGATCCTTTTCTTCAAAACTATTGAAATTTGGCTCCATGAAGGATGCTCTGCCAGGTGTACGTTCCCAGAGGCACAGCAGAGCTCAACCCTGAGAAAAAGAGCTAGGAGAAGAAAAAAATTATCACTGTGGAGATGAGATACAGCAGCACTCGCCTCTCTATAATTAATCAATTGAGAAATACCTCGAGAGGGCAGTTTGGCTCTGGCAAGGTCAGGGCTGGATGCCTGAGAGACTTAGTTGGTTCATGAAGTACAGTGGGATGATCGTGCATCTGCATACCCTGCCAGAGTCGAAGCTGATGGATCAGCTTAAGGACCAGAGGGCTGCCATGAAACACCGTGCTGCATTTTGGGAACAGCAATTTGCCCAGCACACACAGAGTGGAAACAAAGAAATGATCCTTTAGGAATTTTTCTTTCTTTTCTCTTGCTCTCTAGCAGCTGTGTGTAAGTTGGTCGCAGCTGAAGAATAAGCCCAGCTGATACAAACACGAGACTGTAGCGTGACAATGCAGTAAATCAGCCTTCAGTATTTCAGTTGCTGAACCAAAATTTGCACAGACGCGTAACGCGAAGGGCTGATTCAGTGCAAACTCACTCTGCCAATTCAACCGTCTTTGCCATGTGCTGAGTCAGTTGCGTACCAGCCATCTTGAAGCTGGATCAGGTCTTGTCTGGCTGCCCCGTGCTAACAGCATGCTGGATCGGGTATCGTGTGTCCCTTTCCTGCTCGGATAAAGCCTAAAGCCAGCATAAATGCTGTTATCTGTCTCCAGCTAACTTAACAGAAATGCAAACTGTGGCTTATACCTGATCCACATCAAATTCATCCTGCTGAGGAAACCCAGTAGAGCCCAGTTTGCATTAATGGCCATCAGGTAGAATGGCAGCACTCTGCCTCAGGTTTGCAATCATTCTGGCACAGCTGAAACGCAGTTACAGTCCATACCAGACAGTATCATGTGTGCAAATACAGCATCTTCAGCGGTCAGTGTTACGTACGAGCATAGAGCACACACGTGCGTACACGTATCCTAAGCAGCGTGTACCAGTCACAAGTCTTCTAGGTAATTCTGCGAAAGACCTTTCATCTTTAAGTAACCATCTTTCAAATAATGCCTTGCATAAGGAGTGCTGGGGATTTTGTCTGTGGTTAATCTGTCTCTTTCTGTTTGTTTATTATAATCCAGGACAAACGACACCGGCCTCCTTGCTTTTAAAAACCATCTGCCTGTAACTCAGATAGTGATCACTGACACAAACAGATCAAATTCGGAGGCTGCTTGGAAAATCGGCCCTTTGCGTTGCTATGGAGACAGTGAGTACTAGCTCTTCTCCATTTCCATAGGTACAGAATGTTGCCTTTCTTTTTGTTTCGTTTTTTTTTTTTTTAGTTTTTTTTTGTTATATGTATTTATCTGATGAAAGGTGACTTTCCATGCGCAGCTCACAGCTGCTGTCTTGTGCCAATTAACTATAGAGAAGGGGGTTGTGTTTGCAGGGCAGTTCTGGAACGCCGCTTCCTTCAACACGGAGGCCTCTTACCTGCACTTCCCCACCTTCCACGCCGAGGTCAGTGCAGACATCTCCTTCTTCTTCAAAACTACTGCTGTCTCTGGGGTGTTCTTGGAAAACCTTGGGATTAAAGACTTCATACGAGTTGAAATAAGCTGTAAGTTTCACCATCGAGAAATCTTGCTGTATTTGCCCAATTTGACAGGTGCAGGGAAGTGGGAAGGATATATTTTCTTCTGTCTTGAGGTGGTTGGAGGTGCCTGAAGAGGATAAGATGGAGACATTAATCTAGGCTTATCTGTCTCTCCTGACAGTTTCCCTGTATAGCCTTGGTCATTACACTTAATGTTGTTATGGCTAGGTCTATCTTTCCTAAACAAACAGGTGATTGAATTTGCTTTTTCAATGTTGATATTTTTTTTCCTCTTTAGAGAAAAAGCTATTGGTTAGATGTACCTGTAGACTGTAATTTTGGTTGAAAGATGACAAATTTAATACAACCACTCTGATGGTTACTTTTATTTCTGTATCAGCAACATATGCAGTCTGATGCAACCCTAGTGTTTTAGAGGAACTCAGCATGCATGGTGTAGCTATTAGGTGAGAGTCTGTGAAGGACAGGATGATAATGCAAGATGAGTCAGTCACAGTTGCAATGGGCCTTGAACACTTCAAAATGTAGTAAGTGACTACAGAATAACTGCTACTCAGTATGTAAAGGAGAGTAACAGGGAACTTAATTAGTGAGGTTTTGCCTCACTTGTGTTCTGATGACTTCAAATATTTATTAGTGACAAAAGAGTACCGTGGCTCTGACATGAAATACGTCTTCTGTATTCATTCAAATTCTGTCAAGCTTAGGAAAAACAAACTAAGTGCTATGCATTTTATAATATGCTTATAATAACCCCAACATAAAGTTTAATAAAACAGGGCCCAAAGCCCTTCGATTCATTAAACCAATGATAAATGTCATGCTGTATTATCACAAGGTAATGAGGTATGATTTACAGTTAATTGCACTTCGAAGTCCAGTTCCATTGTACTTCAGTGTACTGCATTTTGTTCTCAGGGATATAGAAGTTAAAATGGCATTTTGAAATCAAATATAACAAATGCTGTACACTACTAAAAGGATTGTTTGGTGAAAGCTTTTGTTATGTGTGTTAAATCTGTAATTCTAGAGAAATAAGTTATTTAAAAGTTTGGGGAAAGGCTTGTCTTTTAAACTCAGGCTTCTCATTAGTAGTTTGGTGTTGTGTTTCTTGATGCCAGATGGAATTTGCTGCCTAAAGGCCTTGTATCAAGGAAGCTCCACAGACCAGCTGCTTCGAAGGGAAACGGCCTTTTAGCAGATGCAGGGGCTCAGAATAGATCTTTGTCTATCCCTATGGAGTGTTTCCTATCTTAACTAACTAAGTAGCAGCTTCCAAAACCAGACCTATTCAATTTGTTGGGCTTGAAATAACAGGTTTTTATGAATTTTCAATCCACAGCCTTCTGGTTTGGTGGTCTGTGAACCTGGTTCTTGGTCTTTCTGGTGTATTTGGCATTTAGGAAGAGGAAAAATAATCAGTAGCAAGAATGTTAAAAAGTCTTTCAGGCTTTCAGCAGAGGAGGATGGACTCCTTTATATGGCTGGGGTTTTTTTTCAATTATCATCCTGTTTCTAGGAGCCTTACTATCTCTGGGCGTGTGTTGTATGTGCCTCTTCAGTTTAGGATCACTAATGAACTAGTTTTGCTCATCTGTTTTTCCGTGCTTACTAGGTCAGGCTTATTCAGGCAAATGAATGGTAGGATTCTCTCCTACCATATGCAGCCAAGTTCTGTAATTGTTAAGTACATGCATTTTGAAAGATTTAGTCAGAAATTGCTCCTTCATCCTTTCTCCCATCTTAGCATTATTTGTCCAAAATCTTCTGCTAGCATTGTGTGACTTTCGTACAACATTTGACACTTCAAAAAGAGAATAAACTATTTCTAGAGCACTGTAATTGTTACAGCAAAAAAAAAGATGGGTACCCACAGCCAAGCGTAATCACAGCAGAGATCAAACAGTGAGGCTTCAGGCTTAGATTTATGTATAAGCTGCTGTGTAGGAGCTGGGAGGTAAATGACGCTGTACTATTTGCTGACATAAAAGTTAATGGACCCTATATTTATGTAAGATTTCTTGATGTTAAAACCACAATTCGATTCAGACCTTCACTTCCTCTTCACATCTGTTTATCTCTTCCAGCCCCCAAAGAGATCACCTTCTCCATAGATGTCGGGAATGGCCCCACAGAAGCCACTGTGCAGTCTCCCACACCGCTGAATGACAACCAGTGGCACTACGTCCAAGCAGAGAGGAACCTGAAGCAAACCTCTCTCCAGGTGGACAGCCTCCCCAAGAAGGTCCTGGAGGCCCCTGCTGAGGGGCACTTCCGCTTGCAGCTCAACAGTCAATTATTTGTAGGTAGGGACCATTTAAGGGTTTCTGTAGACATGTACAATATTTCTATGTCCATGTCTTGGTGATGCTGTTGTTTCACCATTGAGCTTGAATGTGGTGATCTAATTCTGCTTTCTCTTCTTCCACTCCTGCACAGGCAAACCCAAACTACCGCCTTTACACTCAAAGCGTCAACCATAGTTTAACCGTGCTGTACTAGATGGTATATTTAGGGTCTAAGATTGCTTGAAACATATTTATTGCCGAAGAATTCTTAGTATTTCTTCCTGTGCTGCACTGGCCTTGTAATTTGCTGTAGGAAATGTGATCTGTCTTTTTAGATGCCATGTACAAGGCATAAATTCTTCATAGAAGTTTCTAGGGCAAAGCCTGATGACAGTACAGCCTTAAAGTCTGTTCTTTCAAGCATGCCTGCCAAAACCCTTATTTGGCCACAGACTGTATGTGTGAGAGAACTATGAACACAGTCAAAGCAAATACAGTTATTTTAACTGAAGGTGATCTTTCAAACGGGGAAAAAAAAAAACCACAACAGAAAAAATCTCTGTTTGCATATAGTTTCTTTCCCCATCTCCCTTTCAAATGAAACATAGATTGAGACCATTTTGTGTTTGACAATATAATCAGGAATAATGAAGGGACTTCTCTCTTTTTTATATTCAAATGCTGTCTTTCTGAGTAATCTGCTCAGTGATGGAGTGGGTTGTAACCTGCTTCTTATTCAGGGCCACTCGGGTAACTACTCATTCTTTCCTTAAAATGGATTCTCTTACTTAGCTGAAATGCTATTGCAAACCTCAACCTGTCAACACATTTTAATAGAGTTTACGTGTGTATCCATACCCTTTGATTTGAGAAGATTTTGGGGTACTTATTTGAGCTTTTTGTAGTGTATGTGTGCAGTAATTACTGGGCTCTGAATGTAATGAATGAATCTATTAATAAATAGATATAGCTGCATCAGTGGCCAGAAGCCTTCCCTCATAGCTATTGATTCATACCTAAAATGATCTCTAATAGACTCAGAAGGAGGGAGGTTCACTGAAGAGCTCACAGAAGGGAGGCTTAAGACTGTCACAGTGCAAGGTTTCTGTTTTCTGGTATGAAGCATGTGCTAATCACTTGTTTCTCAGATGCTAAGATGATCCTGGGAGCATGTTCTGCGGGAGGTTAGGCCTGAAGACAGTAGGGTTGGGCTGCCAGACACCTTACAAACATCAGAGAAATCTAGCCAAGGTACTGTTTCCTGTTAGAAAACTTTGAGAATTTAATGACTGGGTAGACTTTTGCAAATTTTTGGTTGTTCCATTTTACAGGAGTAAAAATGGAGGTTTTCTCATAATCTCATATGTCATATGTATCAGCTGCTTATCATTTCACATTGAAAATCAGTATCTGCCTAGGAGCTTGTTTGTCTGCCTCAGCAAAATAAACAGGTTATCTGAATGAATTTCATGGTAGTTTTAAAGTGACAGTACAGGCTGGGAGGAGAATGGATTGAGAGCAGCCCTGAGGAGAAGGACTTGATGGTGTTGGTTGATGAGAAGCTCAATGTGAGCTGGCAATGTGTGCTTGCCGGCTCACGTTGAGGGAGTCGAGGGAGGTGATTCTGCCCTTCTGCTCTCATGAGACGCCACCTGGAATACTGCATTCAGCTCTGGAGTCCCCAAAGCAAGAAGGACATGGAGCTGCTGGAGCGAGTCCAGAGGAAGACCATGAAGATGATCCAAAGGCTGGAGCACCTCTCCTGTGAAAGCAGTTTAGCCTGGAGAAAGATTCTCTGGCAGGGAGCTTGCAACTACATTGCAATTAGATGATCTTTAAGGTCCCTTCCAACACAAACCACTCTATGATTCTGTGATAATCAATGAATTTCATCATGGGAATCCATGGTAGTTAAGAACCTCAAAACAGGAATGTGCCAACAGGAACTCTTGCCAGCAAAGATAAATGCAAGACCCTGCACGCGGGGCAGAATAGCATCGTGCATTGGTACAAGCTGGAGATTGAATGGATGAGTAGCAGCTGTGCGGAAAAGGTCCCATTGTTCTTGCTGGAGAAGTGAATCTGTCTCTCATCTGCCTGTGAATGTAGCTGTGCTTTGAGGAACAGTCCAGCAGTGACTTCCATCTTAAAGTTTTCTCTGATTGTACTTAATATTTACAGTAAAGTCTAGGACATAGTTACTTTATCTCAACAAAGAGGTGAAAAGTTTTCATTGTGCAGTAAATAGATTGCATTCAGTTATGCATCCATACTTTTACTGAAACCTGAACAAAAGGGACAGAAAACCTAAGATTTTTCGGAGTGCTTTTTTGGGCCTTAGCTCTACCGTATTGAAGGTCAAAACTGTCCTTGACTTTCTGAGTTTTCCTAAGAGCAGTCAGAAGAGATGGAAACCTGAGTAGCCTCCTGATTCTGACATTGTTTGTCTCTGGGTGCTCCAGGGAAGACCAACCATACACAGATGTGGCATAATTTGTCTCTACTGAAGGTCTTACTGCAATCTCTAATAGAAAGCAATTGATTTAATACTTCAACCATGCAGAGTGAATTTTATCCCATCTGAGAAATAAATGCATAAACAACATTGTAAAAAAGGAAGGAAGCAGCAGCACATAATATTACTCCCTACTCCCCCTATAATCCACAACATATTTGTTTCTGCAGCATTCTGTATACTGATAGTGATTAAAGGCTTTCTACAATTACTGTGCACATTCTTAATTAATAATCCACATAACTGACATGATTTGCTGTTTTAAAAATGTTCCAAATATTTTTTAATTGAATCTCCCTGTTTCATTCCATTTAAATATGGAACTTTGTTTCCACACTGGAGGTAGCTAGTCATTAAGATATAACTGTTTTTTGCTGATTCTTCTCCAGAATCAATTCAAATATTTTGTAAATCTCATAAATAAGGCTCAATGTCAAAATTTAATTTAGTTTATTTCTCTTCTGGAAAGATTTATTGATCCTTTGGGATGAAGGAACTGTATTAGTATCATGAAGCATTATGATGATCGCATGGAGATCCACTGTAGCTTTCAAATTACAATTATTTTCCTGTTGCTTGAGAGATGTCAGCCTATATACAGCGTATGTGAGGTGGTTATATAACTCCCTAAGAGGAAAGGTCTTTTCCTTATAGGAAGTTCTACACAGTAAATCACACATATAAAATAAATTTGAACATTTGTAAAATTTGACTAAATGGGCAGTTGGCATATAATATAATTTTAAAGGATTTCTGCTAGTTTGGACCAATTCATTCCTTGTCAACTGTTACTGCCTGTTTTATGAATTAGTTATTTCCTTCAGTTTTGACCAGATTTTTCCTTTGCAACCCAAGAACCAGATAAATTTGGGAGAGTAAGTAATAGAATAATTTATCTTTTGGGGTTTTAAATTGGTTTGTTGCATTTTTAAAAAAGTTGGGCTGTCAAACAGTCTTTTTACTTTCTACGATTTATGGTGAAGAAAGTTGAACAGAAGACTTCTTCAGCAATGTTAAAGAAACAGTTAGTTGTAGGCGGTTGTGAAGCTGTACTTCATTTATTTCTGATCCGGTGATACTGACACATTGTTAAGTGGCTTAATCTACAAATCATGGAATGGTTTGGGTTGGAAGGG